ATCAGGCTTGCACTTGTGGAAGATGGAATAACGTACTTTAGATGTAGTGCATCTGTGCCCTGTATACCAGGCGGCTTAGTGGTATATGGGACACAGGCGCATTACGTTTTTCCGTGTTCCACTCGCACTTATGTGATTAGTAATAGTACATGTACATGTATTTGTACTGTACATGAAAGTGATGTGTAGTGTACATGTACATGGATGTGTACTGTACATGTACATGTATGTGTACTGTACATGTACATGGATGTGTACTGTACATGTACATGGATGTGTACTGTACATGTACATGTATGTGTACTGTACATGTACATGGATGTGTACTGTACATGTACATGGATGTGTACTGTACATGTACATGTATGTGTACATATGGAACAGGTAATATACAAGCAAGCATGTGTATATTAGAATGGATTGGCATTAAAGGCCTTGCAGATTCAAAATATCCGATACCCGTTATTATTCGGATTACAACTAAATTTTTGAAATCTTTTGACTTTTAAGGCACATCATGTGTTGCGATACCTCCAGCGTACATGTACAGTGTATGCACAGAATGGATCTTATTGCTGTAAAACAGGAATCTCACTGTCAACTTGAGAGCCTTGAAATCTTTCATATTTCATTCTGGGTCAGCCACTGGCTTGACAAGTGTAGTTTAATTTTTTAGTCATAAGGAAAAAATGAACCAAATGTGTTCATGTGTACCGGTACAAGCAAGAGGGACATTGTTGTATATGCTGGCCATGCCAGCATGCATGTTCTACTCTGACGACTTGATGGAGACATGTTACATGCAGTCCAGCTTTGCCAACATTCATGTATTCCAGTTTGCGCAAGTCTCAGTGTAAAAGTGTTTTCATGTGATTGTGTATCGTCGGGGACTGTGTGGTGATGCTTTCTGCATCTCTTTACTTCAAGATGGAAACTACACATACGTGTAGGCTCAAGCGTGGATCTTTTAGACTACTTGTTGTGTCTGAGTGCATGTACATGTACGTTGTGACATGACTCAGAATGTCTGAACCAAAGATCGTATAGTGCTGCGAAGCGGCGCAAGATAACGAACATCACCGTGAGTACACGTAAAACATTGTAATTGCATGGTCACCATTTGAGCAAGTGATACGCGTGCGCAATGCACATTAAAAGACAACGCAGGCGCCGCAGCAGGCACCTGCACCTGGCGAACCTGCGCCAAAGCATTACCGTAAACTGCGCAGGCGTATCACTTGCTCAAATGGCGCCCATGGCAATTACATCTTTTGGGCAGAGTTATCCAGCTTGCGCCTTCGCGCTATACAATCTTCGGTCTGAACAGAGATCCTGGTGTGGACATTATCATTTTGTATAGATTGCTTACACAGTGTCCCATTATGTAGTTAGGGAGGGCAGGTTTTATTAAGTATATTTAGTGGTAACGACAGTACAAAACGTCCATTCCATCAATAGTCATCCTTCCATGATAAGTCTTCCTGTCTGATGCACTTTAACTATCTTCTGAACTTTCCATTAGAATTGATGATCACTCTCTCACAGCCAGTTAACATCAGATTTTGTTATCCCACAAAAGCTGCCGAGGCAGGTTTTTTCTGCAAATTGTTTGAAATTGCAATTTATTTATGATGCAACAATGTATTAACCCCAACAGTCCCAAATCCTCCAATTTCAATGTGATTTTACATACACCTGTACACCCTAGGGGGTTAGGGTTAATATATCTACCATGGAAATGAAAAAAGAAGTCTTAAATGAGTGAACACGTCCTCCATGGAACAAACAAGGAAAATTGTGTGTGTTTATATGTCATCCGGCATCAAGTACACTGTACATGTAGTTAATTGATGAACTTTGAACTCATTCTTTTAAACATTTTGACCTAAAAATCTATGGCATTGAAAATTGCGATTCATTCAAATGCCCTTAAATTTAGCCTGAACGACTGGAAATTGATTCTCCAAAGTGGTACACTTTGCTTTGTCCATAGATCCCCAAGTTGATCTGTGATAATCTTTCTGAAGTTAGAAAACTATAATGAACCACTCTATTTACTTGTAAATGTAAGTTGCCTTATAGCTTTTGATAACTTTTGAAAAGGCCTCTTGATGGTCTTCCAAGTCAATCAAGAAATTATGATTAATCTAAATTAATAAATAAGGTTGGCCTGAGCTCACCTGTTTTTTACTTTTTGTGATATTTGGGTTTGACTTGTACTTTGTCAAAGCACAAGAGGACAAAATTTGAAGTGTGCCACATTAGAGGATGCACCATTCTCAGAGGGCCTCAGTAGTGTGGTTTTCAACTAGAAGACTTACATGTACTTACCTGTGTGTTTCCTGGTGGTTATGCAGGGGTGTATCTCGGCATCTTGCAGATAGACCGCCGTGTACTGTCACAGGAGCTTTCCTTCCATCGAGTTTCCTCCCATGTGTGGATGCAGTCCTGGTTTCCGGCTTATCACCAATGGGAAAATTAGGTGCCCAGTTGGTATAGCCTACTGGACTTCCATCTAACCAGGTGTAAGACCCCTCCGCTGCCTGGTCATTCAATCCGATCCATTTCTCTCGATGGTTCAGAGCCTTCGTGAATGCGTCTTCCCTCTTGTTAAGTATAGACACAAGGTGAGCTGGTCGTCCCGGCTTGGAATAACTCTGGCAGTGTTGCTCAGCGCCATCATAGGTGTTGGTTTCATTTACATTCAAGTAGCAGTTTTCTTCAAATGTTTGCCATGGCGGTTCACAGTCATACCCCACATCAATCTGCGGGCATGTGCCATTAACCCAGTAGTGCTTGCTAGTAATCTTCATTAGAAATGAGACGAAGAAAAGCTGCAGAAGACTCATCCTTTCTAATTTAGCTTTCAAGTGTGTCTGTCGCGTGGTTGAATTGCAGAGGTTTTGTTGGTTAATCTGCAAAAAGATTGACATTCATCACTGTTAACTGTGTTAACAGCAATCCTCTGTTGCTTGTCTGAAATGAGCGCTGTGTCCTGTTGGTTGCTCATTACCATCCAAATTGGAGGAGGAGGAGCCAGATATTAAGATCCTCAAATGGGCGTTGTTGCCATAGATGCTAGGGAGGTGGTAAGCCTTGACTGCTCTTGTTTTTTATAAAGACCTTGGAGCCTGTTACCTCTTACTACTGGTGCATGATTTCAAGATCCTGTAGTCACGATACCTGTATTGTGTAAAAAAAATGCAATTGCCAACTTTAAAAATACCGATCTTTGGGATGTTTGCAGTATAATTATTATATTCGCCGGTGTATGTATTTTATGTTTATGGTCCAGGTTTTGATAGCAATTGTATGGAACCAGCGAAACAAAACAGCAGATAATAGCTAAATGAAAGGATCAACTGGCTTGTTTTGTCTGTTTTTCGTGTTAACATGGTTTGTATTTGTGTTGAGCCATTCATATCACTGAACAAAATGAAAAGTCATCTCTTACAAGTTGGCTGTACACTGTACATGCACATTTAAAGCACCTTAACGTGCATTATGGCTGTGGAGCGTGTACTGCTGACAGGTATGTTTTGGCTGACAAAAGACATGAAAGGGAAGCCAAGTGTTAAAAGTAAACATGATGGAGACTCAAAATGAAATGTGTAGAACATAACTGTATTGTCGTCGTGTTGTAACCAAGTCAATTTTTCCTAAGTCAAGTCAAGTCTCCAGTCAAATTTTCCCAAGTCAAGTTACAAGTCAATTTTCTCCAAGTCAAGTCAATTTGCACCCAGTCAGGTTTTGATGATTGTATTAAAGAAGTTTCTTCAGTTATGGTTTCAGATCATGTACATGTACGGAATATAAAGAATAATTGCTGTACTGAACAATGAATGATATGTCAAACAAAAGGCATGCCTCTAGATCACAGCGTGCGGCCTGCCTGTTCAGACCCGGCTGCACAATACATGAATAACGAGGCAGCTTGCTTTTGTGCTCACTACTCTACATTGAAAGGGTTGGCGTGGAATGGGTGCTCTCTCCAACCGATTATTTCTGGACACGAAAGTTTGTGTTTATTATTTTTAACAAACATTTGGCACAAATTCCAATTTAGTTTGCAAGTCATGTTCTTTCAAGTCAAGTAGACTACCATATCAAGTCATTTTTTCGAAGTCAAATCAAGTCTCATGTAAAAATAATTCTGAGTTGAGTCCGACTTGAGTCCAATGACGTCAGTTACTTGAGTCGAGAGTTCTGATTTGCTGTGTAGTGGATCAGTACTACAAAGGTTGAATGGCTGCGAAGCAGGTTTGAAAGGGGGAGCCAAAACGGGGATGGATCCAAAATATTTTAGTGGGGAAGGGTCAGTTGTTTGCATCTTCAGTTGCTTGGTAGAAAGTGGGAGAGGGGGATGGTTACATGTACCTTTCAAAAATGGGGAGGGGAACAGACGTGGTATTAAGGAAGGACTTTGCAGCAACAATGTTTTATGTTTTTTGACAGTTGATTAACATTTCATTTTTACATCCTGGTGAGTTGAGTTACTGGGCTCCAATGCCACTGCCCTAAAGAGCCAAGAATTACCGGTACCTGTACATGATACAGTTCATTTGATTGGTTACTTTTTCCACTCCTTGACATTGATACATTGAATTTTGAATTACTCCTATAACAGCCTTACATGATACAAATGATATAGATTATCTGATTGGCTACTTTTGTTCCCTCCCACTATATTGACACATTGGCTGTGTTTGCCTGTGTCACTCTCCATATGCAGAGGTACAAGAAAATCTTGCATGCCCATTACTCTGGGGATCACCCGACAGGAATGGTGTACCTTTGTGCCATATGGAAATGAGAAAGTGATGCATGGGTATACATGTACTCCCGCTCTGATTGAAAAAAAAACTCATTACATTACATTACCCACAGGTCTGTACTCAGGAGTGCACAGTACTCCTGCCATTGAGTAACATGAGTAACAGCCTATGTTGATACAAATCTTTTGATTGACCACTTTCTTTACCTCCCTATTTTCATTGCAGAGATCCTCCAAGCCCTTGAGGAACGATTTTGCCAATAGCTCATCTGATGAGGCCTTCATGGTGACCAGCAATGTGCAATACTACCAGATGTTCTGCCTGGACAGCCTCGGTCAACCGCTGGTGGACGCAAACCCTCAGCTGACTGAAGGATGGCATGTACCTCTGTATCCTTGAGGAAAAGGTCCATGTGGTGGAAAAATCCCCATTGAATGTTTAAATATTTTTGGCAAGACGCCCAACATAAATCACAATACCCCTGTTGCACGCATCTTATCCTATTCCAAGGTGGTGCTATACTTTGTAAGGGGGCAGGCGGTCAAGGGGTTAGGTTTGTGACTCTTGCCCAGAGGGTCTGGGGTTCGAATCCAGCTGCCGGCCATATTTTGTGGCCTTGGGCAAGCCACTTAACCCTTGCTTGCCTCTCTTTACCTACATGTAGGTGTATAATTGGCAGGGGCACTAGCTTGGGAGGAACCAGCTTCAGAATGGCATTCCACACTAGACATATTCTTAGTCGTTTCATGCCAAGGGAATTGGAGATAAGCACTAGCCTGATGAGCCAAATTGCTCGGAACAGACTAGCCTCTTTTGCTCTGCTCTTCAAGAGAAAATCTTCGTGGAACAAGGACAGGCATACTCATGCCAAAGATTTTGCAACATCCTGGTGGCTGAAAGGCCAAGTCATTGTCCTCAACACATTTGCTGGTGCCAGCCTTTGCGTTATATATGTTGGCAAAAGATATTTTGGTGAGGTTTTGACATTCAATGTGACCAACCCACATTAATTTTCGCAGAAGAGGAAAACAAACATTTTCTCATGTTTGGAATTATCAATTCCATTTTCCTCAAGATCTGACAGCTACACTGTGATATTCCATGAAGCCCTTCCCATCGACGAAACTGAGAAACCTAGTCAAAATAGAGCGTGAGTACCTTTTTTTTTTAAAGATCAGTAAAATTGGTCCACCTGTATTCCTGGTGGCATTATCGTGGCCAACTCTTTTCAAAATCTGGTTGTGAGTATTCAAGCAGGAATGCTTGATCTACATAAAGCCTGCGTATACATGGGTGATTCTATAAATTAGGGGTCCAACGGGGGGACATTTGGTGTCCTGTTACATGTGAAGCCAGTCAACTTTTCTTCATGTAAAATTGTAACATTATCAAACATTTTGCAGATTGAACAGTGCATTGTACAAGTCATAAACAATGTAATACTGTTTGATCTACAGAATGTGAACAGTACTAATATTAGTTCCATCCAGAAAAGCTGAATGGTTTCACCCGTAACAGAACACCAAAATGTCCCCAAGTTGGACCTCTAATTCATATAATCACCCACATGTAAGTTGTTGGTACCAATAGCAGGCAAGATGTCAAGACGGAAGTAGAAGAGATGATGTGTGACCCAGTTAATCCAAAAATGTGAAAAAAGACTCACTCGACTCTTACTGATAAATATTAAGTTTCTCTTCTTCCTGTGTGATAAGGCCATGACTTGTTTACAGTGAAATGGACGGCACTTGCCTTGTGGATGCATAATTCTAACCTTTGATTCTCTCTTGGCTTTGTTTAATGTTAGGAAACGCAGTAAAGCGACTTGTTGGAATTGTGGTGAGGAAGGTCACTCACTACGAGATTGTCCATATGTAAGTTGTCGCACCGAACCAAATAAGTTGTCACAGTGATTCGAAGATTGTTCAGTCTCTGTGTGTACAAACTTGTGGAGAATTCAGAGAAGCATTGTTTTGAATCTCTCAACATGGGTAATAAAGACCTGAAATCAGTAGTTGATAGGATTTGCAGTTTGGGAGGGGAGAACTTAGGCCCGCAATCCAGCTGCTTATGCATCTTGTGTCCCTGAGCAAGACTTTTACCCACATATACTTTATCTCAGATCTGGAAGGAAAATATGGGTGTCAGCATAAAGACTGTATGTATCACAATCATCTTAGAGATGGCATGATAACGTTCCAGTATTTTATTGCCGTCTGTATCACAAACCTTCCTCAGAATGTTTGTTCCTTCTCTTCATCTCCTGATCTGGTCCATGGTCAGTGAATGTGGCTTTAATACCTTCATAGCCTGGGTGGTGGTGTTACCATAACTGTGCATACTTCGCGAACTGAACCTCTTTGGTTGGGTCTTAAAACAGCCCAGAGATCCAGAGAAGATCAGCCTGGCCAAGAAAGAGTTCATGGAGCAGAGTGCGGAGAATCTCTCGTTGAACCAGCGCTACCACAAAGAGGGAGAAGAAGGAGGTTTTGACCAGCGCTTTGCCAAGTTCAGACCGGGACAGATCAGGTTAGACTGGTGATTGATCCTGCAGGGAGCTGTTGGGGGCACAATGTGGTTTCCCCCTTGGCATACTGTCAACTTTTGTTGTTAAATGTTGGAAGTGGCAGCATTTGAGAAATGGCACTAGTCTTGTTTTCTGTCTTTCTACTTTCCTGAAGCGATGACCTCAGGGAAGCCTTGGGCCTAGACAGACAGCAGATTCCTCCCTACATCTTCCAGATGCGGTTGCTAGGGTACCCACCCGGTTACTTGAAACAGGCAGAGGTGATGAAGTCGGGGCTGACGGTGTATGACATCAAAGGTAAGGACGGGCTGTCCTGGACTCATGCTAACAGAACTGGGTAGCATTTCAAACTCACTGTTGGCTAGTTACAGTGACCAGAATTGGACGCCACTATCGCAGTGATGCTAAGCTTTCATGAATTGCAGATTTGTACAGGTAGGGATTGCATATTGAGCATATTATGCCTAGATATTTATTTTCCAATTAGCATGTTCCTAATCTTGAAAGCTGAAATACACTGACCACAGGCACAGCTTCAAGGAATAATGTAAATTTACATCGAAGCATTTGAACTCTTTCTCCAAACCTTTTGAATTTGAAAGATGGAGATGAACCGGGACAAATCCATGCTGATGAAGCTGACACCAGGCCGACCTATGACCCCTTGAAATTGATTGAATATCCAGGCTTCAACATAGCCTTACCAGACGGCGTCAGAGAAGTATGTATCTTTAATGCACACCCACGCTACAGAATTCCAGAGCAATTTTTTATGGGGGGGTGCAGGTAGGAGGCGAAACTTTTTGGGAGGGAACAAAACTTTGGGAATTTCTATATTTAACCCTTTATAGCCATTCTCAAGGGTGAGGCTAAATTTTGGGACCTTTTTACACACTCTGGGAAGGATTAGAAATGAAATAAAGGAAGTTTTACCGCTCTGTTTCTGGGGGGGCAGGGGACGTGACCCCTGTTGGCACCCTGCAGATCGGCCAGTGGAGCCATTTGCACCCACCTCGTAAATTGTATGTCATGATTTTATGTAGGGCTTGAAAATGCATTCTTACAACTTCTGTTTGTAGAAGCAGGTGACATGGATGCCCTCATGCTTCATTTGTTTTGTAGGATGACCAGGTGTGGCACCCTGACTCGGCTGTGTGACTTCACCTGTCATCGGAGTATGTGATGCTTTATGGCATTGCTGACCCTTAAAGAGTCAGCATTATGGGGTCCACATTTTGTTGCTAAAAAAACTACCTTCATTGTCTTGTCATTTAAAAAAGGGAGAGATTTGGAGTCAAAAATGATACTTTGCCTTTGGCTATATAACCAGGTTCCCATCTCATGGCTCAGTAACACTGATACATGTAACTACAGCAGAATATTCTGCATCAACTATGAGCATATCTTGCAGGCCAGCAAGGAAATTTGAGCTACATGTATGTGTGTGTGTAAATTTTTGTAGCTTAGAATTCTGTGGTGACTCGATGAGTGCGGGGTTTTGTTCTAACACTATAAGCACGGAATGTTCTGTGTTAGCGCAGATTTCTTCGGTTAGCAGTCATGAAATAAGGCCCAGACATTTAATCCCTTGTTGAAAGAGATGATAAATTCCATTCGTTTGTGTGTGTGTCTTGCCCACCAGCCCGAGGGCGTGCCCCCGATGCACCCTGCCCACAGCAAGCAAGCCTTCCAGTTGTTCATGACGCCGCCCAGGGTTTCCGACAACGGACAGAAGAGGGCGCGCAGCAGGGACTTTACCGAGGACCCCAGTAAGAAGCGGCCACGCTTTGAGCGAGTGGAGGTAGACATGGAAGTAGATGAAGCAAGTAAGTGGGTTGGTTGAATGAGAATGTATAGAGCATGTTGGAGTAATTCAGCTGCTTATATTTTGTAATTGCGCATCGGCCGTGGAGTGGAGGTAAACATGGAAGTAGATGAAGCAAGTGAGTGTGTTGGTTAAATGAGAAGATATCGAGCTGTGTTGGATTGATTACAGTTGCTTATATTTCATAGTGTTGCAGTCAAGTATGTCATTTCACATGTTCAAAAGCACTCACAATAGACGATATTCATGTGTCGGCCATCTTGGATTGAAAGTGAGGTAAAACTTTTCATTTTGGGAACTTGAGAGTAAAAAATAAATGCAACAAAATAAAATTCAATACAAATTCATGCCAGTTTGTGTTTGGAATAACTTAAGATTTGTGATAAATTACATGTATATGTTACATTTAACAGATTGCATTGAATATGACAGATACGGAAAACAAGATAAAGAAACTGCCTTTCCCATGACTAAGGTTTATTGATTCACAAATACTTGCAGGTTTTCTGTCAATTTCCTGTCAATTTTCTCTTTTTGAGTGTTATCAGAATGTTTTGTTTGTACACACAATTGTTGCCCTGTTGTGGGACTGATTGACTGATTGTGGCTGTCAATTTTCTGATGAAGATGCTGCAGACTTCAAGCCACCATTGCCACCCACTCCTATACCTGAGACTCCACCCCCTTTACCATCGTCCACGCCCCCGCCTACACCGGGTACCACACCTAGGTTCACGTCTGTAGACATGCCCAGTGAGCTGTTGAGTGTCAGGAGCCCAGGCAGCACCGATGTTGAAGCAGAAGACGCCAGCCAGTCCTCAGCCACGCCTGGCTCTGTGTCGCCCTCCATGGACGACCTCGAGAGAATGCAGAGCCGGCTGCGCGAGGCCCTTATGCAGGCAGCCACTGACGACGGGAGCATCACACAGTCAGATGCCAGTGACAAGTTTGTGGTGGACGGGGAGGAATTCTTTGTGGAGTCGGTGTCCGATGAAAGTGAAGAGACTGAAGAGAGGGCTTTGCACGCTGATGAAGATGTTCCTAAACATGCAAGCTCATGTGATGAAGATATACAAACTCAGAGTTTGGAGTCAAGGTCTCCAGAAGGTACGAGTTTTGCCAAAGAGGAATGTGAACTGAGTACTTTTGAAGATGTTCAGGAAAGTGGTACTTTGACAGAACAGGAAGCCAGTTTACCAACATCTGAACGGACTGCGGAGGACCGGAGTGAGGAGGCCGAAGAGGAGGAATCCAAAGCTGTCGGAGGTGGAGATGACTTGGTGCCGGGGGAGCTAGCCGAGGGGAGCCTGGACACAACCCCCAATCGCTCGGGGGTGCCGCATCTCAGCAAGTTCGCTGTGGGGATCTCACCCCATGAGAACGAGAACCTGACAGAGACCACGGGAATACTGAAAAGAATCCTGAGTATCTTCAAGAGGAAGAAAGGGAAGCCGTCAAGCTGAGATTGGCCGAATGCTTGTAGACATGAGACCTGTTTCCTCAAGATTTTTGTCTTCAAAAACTGTGTTTAAATGGCCTCGTGCAAAATCTAGCGGCTGATCTCATGAAACTTTTGGTTCCTTGCAGTAGGCATAAGTGTTGCACAGCAAACTCACCTGCGCAGTACTTATGATCAATTTCACAAAATGTTGCTTTTTTCTCAACATTTTAAACACTTTAAGCGTCTTGAGTAGTAAAAAACCCTCCCAGCTAGGACAACGTCTGTTGTCTTCAAGGTGTTTATACCAATTGCCAAACAGTTGTGGGATCAGCTGTGTTGAAACAGTTGGTGTGGGGCAAATCTAAACATTTTCTCACAAGTGAGAGCTGTAAGCTCATCAGTGATGGGCTGTACAACTGCAGCAATTAGTTAACAAAATTATTTATTTGCTATTGGTTTGCCATAACTTACTGTGCCCAAGACAGTTTACACAGGGTACTGCATGCCCTGATTTGATATATAAGGTGTAGACTTCCACACTGTGTGACTTTGCTGGAATGGGTCATAACTATTTGCGTCGTGTCAGTGCTAAAAGGCCCTCACTGGAAAATTGCTTTGAAAGGTCCTTATTGGAAATTACTAATCTAAACTTGAAATCGGGCAACAAAATTTATTTGGTTAAATTTAATATGTTGGCCCAAGAAAACTAGTTCAATAAATAAAAGTACATCAAATGCATTCTGTTTGAATACAATATTTTTTTCCTGCTCAGAGTAAGGCCCTAAAGAGTATTTTTTTAAAAATTTTTCTGTAATGACCATTTAGCACTGAGCCGATGATTGCACAAAGTTTTTATAATAAAAGGTGGAATATTTTGAGTTATGCCATTGCCCAAAGTTTCCTGAAATCAGCCGTGGTCCATACGTGTATATGCATTTCAAAGGGTTTGAAGAAGCTCGCTAGAGAAACAATTATTGAATCATTTCTCGTTGGCCCTGTACGGTGTGAGTGGTGGTTAAGCAATCACCTGCCAGTATGTACAACCCCACAGTAGTGTCACTCCTTGATGCATCATTTGGAAGGTGCTGAGATGAATGGACGGACATGCACCAAGTCAGATGGACAGAGATGTTGTCTTGATAGATCTACAGGCCCCACTGAAAGTATCAAAACATTACCTGCAGCTGTAATGTTCTGCAGTTCTTGTGGAAATTTGCCTTAATTGCTTGATGTAGGACATTTGCCAAGGTTGAATTCACTTGATAAGGCCACATTTTACGGAAATTGTTTGAAGCTGAAAAAAAACTGAAAGCTAAGGCCGGGTTTGATCAGCAACCATAATAACTGGTCAGTGTTGATTGGTTGGTTGATAACATTGGTCAAATTTCCCAGAAATAAGGATATATTTTGGGCATAGTGTACTGAGCAGAATCAACTATTGGTCGACAAGTTTATTGAACTTCGCCATACGTATTAAGCGAAAATAAAGTTACACCAGTGTTCAGCTCTCAACTAAAATGTGTAAGGGATCTGCTTAAAATGGTATTTTCCTGCTTTCTGTATGAGGAACTGAACAAGTACAGCATATAGGCCATGAAAACTTTGTGCAAAAGGAGACGTGTTCAACAAAACTGCCAGTCCACTGTTTTGATTTTGATTTTATTTTATTTTATTATTTTCATTTTTTTTTTTAGCAAGAGGAGGGTAATGCTATCTCAGTGCCCAATTGGAACTTTGTACCGAGATGTATTTTTGTAGGCATTTGTTTCGTGGCTGGAAGAACTCATAATTTCCTTTAGATGCCCTTTTTTGTACTTGTATAAAAACTTAAGTTCTTCCAAGAAGCCTGTACTGTATGTGCCCCCCCCAACTCGGGGGGGGGGCTCAAAACTTCAACTCAGAACATTGTACACTTCTAAAAATAATTACATAACTTTTCGGAGGGGAACAGAAAATGTTTAAAATTTGTACTTCAGCATTTTTGTTCTCACAAAGGCTTTTACTTTTTTATCGAGTGGGCTTTTTATGCTAATATTGAAGACCATTTTTCATTGGAGGAGAGCTGAAACTCCTTGTTTTATGGTAAAAGCACATGTAGCATAAAACAGCAGTAGGCCTACCTTTTTATCTCCCTGGGTTTGGAGACACTATTTATCAAAATAATTTTGTTTACTAATCACACATAGAAAATCTGTGCCTACTGTTACCATGAATTTTGTATTTATCAATCTAAAAACGATTTCTCAAATTGGAAATACTGTCAACTTTGTATATTTATAGCAATTTTAAAACTTTGAAGGAACTTTTAGAATGAATGCCAAAAACTGTCAACCCAATTGTGTTTTCGTTGTGCATTATTTTAGTTGTCCGAGTTAATGAAAGCGTGAATGCCCATGCGTCTAGTGCAGTTGACTACTGTAGTATATGTCATCCACAGAATCACTGCACAGGCAAGCTGCTGGAAAGTCAGGGAAATGGAGAATGTTCATTCTGAGCAGGAACAAACGAGGGAGTGTTTTCAAATGAAAATGATGGTCCTTTGGTAGGAACCCACCACATCTACGTGCAAGTACGGTATATGCACATTTGGTGCGCGGCATGCTGAATATGTGCTACAAATTCATGCAGGAATATATGGTCTTTACGCCAAACGCGTGGATGAACCCTGGATGGAAAACTTCTCACCGGCCAGTCTTTGTTTTGCTGGTGAGGGTGCACTTCAACTCGGAGCCGATAACAAGCTACTGTACATTTAGTTTTCTCAGTTTGCAATGGCAGGCATGGAAAGTAACAAAAACCAATGGGTAAAATCAGCTAATCCAAGGGAAAGTTGCCTGTTGGATTGCAGTTTCTGTAGAACTGACCAACAATTGGGGGAAAATGTTGCATGGATTAACGATTGGACCCGTGCAACACTCCCATTAAAAACTTTCAGATAGTCTCTAATTTGGAATTTAAGAAAGTAATGGGCTGAGTTTCATTCCTTGCTTCTCAAGGCAGTCTTTTAAACAGATTCAGCCATGATTGAAAAAGATTCTAGATTGAAATGTTAGATTAGTAGAGATTCTGCCTTTGCCAAGTCCTGATCTTTTGACAAGGATTGTGTTGTCATTGCCCAATTAAATCAAGGATTTTGCTCAAACTGAAATATCAGCTTGAAAGGATTCAACTATGATCAAAATGCCAGTTCAAATAGATTCTGATAAGATACAAATTTCAGTTTTATGTCATTTTTAAGGATTCCTCCAGGATTGGATTGTCGGTTTGAGGTTTCTGCCAGAATCAGAATGTTAATTTTCTGAAGGATTCAGCTGGGACCGGATGGGAATTTCAATTTTGAGAAAGGTTCAGCTTGAATTGGAACGTCAGTTTGAGAAAAACTCAGTTCTTAAAAAAGAAAATTAGTTTGGGAAGGATTGTCAGTTGGGTCTGGAAGGCCAAACTTGAGGATTCTGCCCAGATTGGAATGCCAGTTTGAGAAGGGTTTGGCTTGTAACAGGACGGCAGTCAGAGACTTCAGCTGGGATTGGAGTATTGATTTAGGATTCCATAAGAATTGGAATGTCGGTTTGAGAAGAATTCTGCTGGGTCTGGAATGTCAGTTTAAGAAGGATTCTTCAAGAATCAGAATGGCAGTGTTTGAGAACGATTCTTTTTGGACTGAATTGTGAGTTTGAAGAGGATTCTGCCCGATTGGATTGGAATGTCGGATTTGGACGGATTCAGCTGGGAGTGCAACGTCAGTTTGATGAAGATTCAAGTAGGTTTGGAGCTTCAGGCTTAGAAGGATTCTTTGAGGATTGGAACATCAGTTGAGTAAGATTCAGCTTTGATGGGACTTGGTTTGGGGATTCTGTCAGGCTTGGAATGGCAGTTTGAGAAAGATCAAGATAGGGTTGGAATGTCAGTTTGAGGATTCTACCAGGCTTAGAATGGCAGTTTGAGGATTCTACCAGGATAAGAATGGCAGTTTGAGGATTCTACCAGGATTAGAATGTCAGTTTGAGGATTCTACCAGGATTAGAATGTCAGTTTGAGTAGGATTCAGGTAGGATTGGATTTATTGAGGATTCAGCTTGGATCAGAATGGCAGTTTGAGAGAGATTCAGTCCATTACCAATATAATGCTGGCTTAATGGCTACTGTCAAGTTCGGCACGTTTTACAACAAAGATATCATGCTCGGTTTACAGTTTGTTTTTACTGTATTAACAAAAGTGACAGGAAAGTTCAACAAATGTTTCATTTAAACGGTGAAAACTGTTTCAGGTCCATGCTTAAGGAACCCTTCACCAGTGACAGATATGAGACAAACTTAAGCAACAAGTGCTTACCCTACTAGAAATGGCCCATTCAAATCAATTGATTTTTGAATTGGATTTAATTGGAATGAATTGGTCCAACTGGCAATCGGTTGCTGCTCAATTGGTTTCAGTTTTTATGTTTTCTCTCCCATTTGTTTTCCCCCATCAATTGGAGATTTCAGATGGGATGCAATTGGTTTCAATTGGCATTTTTTCTTTGCTAATTGTTTTCCCCAAACAATTGGAATTTCAAATGGGAATCAAATGATTCCAGTTGGTGTGCTTTTTCTCTGTTTGTTTTCCTTGATCAAGTGGAAATTTCAAATGGGATGCAACTGGTTCCAATTGGTTTGCTTTCAGCTTGTTTCCTCCATCAAATGGAGTTTCAAATGGGACTCGGTGGGTTTGAGTTGGTACTGAAATGGTTTCAATTGGTTCTTCGGTTGGTTACAGTTGGATCGTGAATTGGCATTTAAATGGTGTCAATTGGTTTGAAATGGTCCAACTGAGATAAGGTCCAAATTTACTATTCAAACCAATTGAACCCAACTGGATTCCAACTGATTCCAAGCAAAAGCAACTGGTTTTGGAATTGGTTATTGAATTGGATCCAATAGGTTAGTGAATTGGATCCAATGGGTTGGTGAATTTGTCTTAATAGATTGATGAATCGGACATTTTCAGTGGGGTATAGCTTTGGCTTATAGATTTGTGACATTACCGGTGTGTACTCGTGTGCTGAAAGCACACTTTAATATAGCGAGTGTGTCCCCAGTGGGAGATGTTTGCTTTATGACGCTTCTCTCATTGAAACATAGAGCCCTTTGGTTTTAAGTGAAGTCAGTGGAGTCCCGCACCATGAATGTTTTCAGCTCGCCTAGATGCTGAACTTGCAGATTTGACATTCTGCATTCTGACAATGTTCATATGCACAATGTTAATATTAACAACAGGAAATAATTCATACAGTCAATCCACCAAAATCCAACAAGACATTGCCACATTTATTTTTCAGGCCGAATTACACCATGGAGTTGCACAGAAGTGTTATTGCTAATAATGCATGTAACTTCCAAAAACTTCTTCAGGATTAACCAACCCTTAACATGCACATCTTTTTGAATGATGATTTCAGTTCTGCAACAGTATTCACTCACCACTATGTACATATTTCACCCAAAGAGAAAGCCGCCAACTACTACTCCACTCTAACTCTTGTCATTAGCTGGTGTCCATTGTGTCCATTACAACCTTCCAAAATGGCCCTCAATCTTCCTTGATGCTCACGTAATCCTGCTCAGTAATTTCTTCATAACTGGCATCAGATAAATCCAATTTTGAAACCTGGGGGAGAAAGCTTTTAGACATCAGGCAACTGATGACCCCTGTGTGCTTGGCCCAACTGTGTGGCCCCACTTACAGTTGGCAACAAATCTGTGTTAATATACTTGAATAGATTCTGCACACTTTTTTAGCATGGAAGATACAGGTAATTCTCCTGCTTAATTAATGTAACTAAGGAACCTTTGCTTACTTGGTTAGCACACATTCTTTTGTATGGATGTAGTAAGCATGGAATCCTGATCATAAGTGCACAATTCTGTAGTGAACACAGGCCCTGAAATTGGGCCCAGGACCCATGCATTAGGTTATTTGAGACGTAGCAACCCCCCCCCCTTTATATATTTATACTTTGTATGACAGTTTTGGCAGTCGTATTTAGTTCAGCAAGTCATTTGACTGGGAAGAAAAGTAAGTTCCTGCATCCCTAATTTTTACCCAAAGGTCATTGCAAGGTCAGAGGTCATAAAAAAAATCAAAATTTGCATTTCCTTCAATTTTGGAAGATTTTAGACCTTTTGAGAGATAGCTGTTGTAATATCTGAGTTGCTTTTTAGTTGTCAATGTTTTTTGGATGTGACGCTCAAAAACCTATGCTCAAGAACTAGATTTGTCTTATATTTATCTTACACTACTGGGGACTGAAGACAGACATCACAATCTTTTAAGTATCGTTACCCAATCGGTCAACTTTAAGAAACAGGAATTTCAATGACTGCTGGTTCTCCACCCAATTTCAGATCATTTAAAGTAAAATCACAGAATACAGAGGTGTCGATATCATTTAAAGTGGATACTGCATTTCAACATTTGGAACGGATATTCCTTTCAGTGGTAATCATCACAGTCAAGTATATCTTCACACATAAGTAAATTCCACACAATACAGTGAACAAAGTGAACTCGCCCTTTCTACAAGGGACTTTCATATTTTGTGACCATGGAATCTAAAGGTTCACGTTTGTGTAAAAAGAGTCAAATTACAGTCAGTGTACAAAAGTCTTGCAACCTTTGTTAGTGGACATCTTGGTGTTTAACGAAACTAGTTAAATTTGTAAACATTCTTCCTGGTCATCTGCAGATTTCTTGAGATTTATTTGACATTTCTGAGTAACTCCCGGTTCTTTTCAGAACCACACATACTCATAAGAGAGATATATTCCTTCGCATGGTGCTACCGCAAGCCTTTCCAACTGTTGCTGTCCTTCACCATGAATAGCCTGAAATTCCATCAAAACTAGTCTTAGCGCACATTTCCTCCTTTGTCGATAATGTACATAATCTGCAGACCGAAGATGAAGTATTTATTGTCTGAAAAAATTGTGAGTATGTGGAATGGGAATACAACGATTAGTTTGTTAAATTTGTAAACATTCTTCCTGGTCATCCGCAGATTTCTTGAAATTTGTTTGATATTTCTGGCTCTTTTGCCTGATTTCTGTGACCAATTTCTGGGCCACAATCTTATAGATTGCAGAACTAATTCAAAGATACGTAATTTTCATTTTTAAAATTTTAAAAATTTCACACAGGATTAAAAAAACAAGCACTACTATATTACTTCCAAAAAGAAGTTTGGCAGCAGCATTTGGGAAGGTCAGAAAAAGTCGAGACAACCCACAATAGTAAACTCTGTTGAACTAAAAGACAAAATATGATGATTTTTTTAAACGAAAAAATACATGTTTGGTGAGCAAGAAAATATCCTTGATATCTATGTGTTTCAAAATAGAGATGTTGGACTCGGTATACTTGTTTTCTGGTTGCATGGGGCCTTTGGAAGACATCTTTTTTTTCCAATTTCAGTTTTTGAAAATTTTAAATTTCTCACTCCTTAAGGTTTTGCATTTATCATGTACTGTTGAAGGAATATACTGTAGTTTGGCAGCATCCACAATTGGCTAGTTGTTTGAAAACTGCCCTGAAAATCTTTTCAGCACAATTAAAACAAAACTGAAGAACATCTTTGGTTCATTTCTTCATCGTGTAATAGTAATTTAATCAACATTTCCACTTCAAAAAAAAAATGAATGAACGGATTTGTCACATGTCACATATATACCCAAGGTACAACTGGACTACCAACTAAACCATTTTGTGTCACCATGTCACTTGCCCAAGTACACTGAATGTCATTGGCTGACCAGCGGCTCTAAGCCAAGGAAGCCAACCATTCCTCCAATTGCTGCACTTGTTTCATGACGGCTGGCTTGCTGGTACCCCCCGCGCTGGTGTACTGCTCAACGCTGTTCTCATAGTCCCATACAGCGCTGACGTCTTCTTCAAAAGCAGGACTGCAAGGAGCAAAGAAACTTTTGTTAATGATTCAAAGACTTTTTCTCGATAAATGTGCCATTCCCGCATCTGTGTAACTGTTTTATGCAGTTTCTTTTGATGGATATCTTGAAAATTGGATTTATGAGTTATAGTTTTTAACCCTTTCTGTCTCACCTTGTTGAGTTATTCTTACCATTGTACTCATATTCATTACTTGTATGCTGTCATGTTCCAATTTTGAGTCTCAAATTATCTCTGACAAATTTGAATCACATGTCAATTTTCTTAACTTCAAAGAAATCAAGGAAAACTTTTTAACACATTGACATAATTTTGATCATGTTGCATCTAAGAATTTGATGCAAGGCACATTGTATATAGTGTTTCATTGTAGTAATATTGCTAAAGTATTTTATAAATCAATTGAAAGCGGTAAATATGATTCATAAGGCTGTAATATAGTACTCATAAATGATGAGGTTTGGGTCTATGTGGAACTCGCACGGACTAAATCTGAGTTGAGTATTAACATGAAAGTATCTTAGTGCTGAGTCACCAAACAGTGTCCCAGTTACCTGGAACATGTTGCAGTGGGAACATGGTGCACAGTTGGTACATATGTTGCATAACCAATTTTCCACTGAACATGCACAAGAGACACAGTGAGTGAGTGCCATGTTACATATATCTGTGCCTTTTTCACATGAGTGGTCTATCCATGGTCACTCATTAAAAGCCCAGACTGACCTGACCGTCTTGAGATCCACCAAAGTCAGCTCTGTCAGTGAGCACTTCTTCTGTTCTGCCAGAGCCACCACACCTCCAGACAAACCGTGTGCCTCACGGAATGGGATCTGTCGTGTATAGAGACGGCGCAGAACAAGTGATAGTGTCTTAGAGCAAACTTGTATTTGGGATCCTGATCGGTTGATCCATGGCAACAGTGGTGTGGTATTGTACCAAAGCACATGGTTCATACTGGAATCTGCGTATTGCACAAATTCTTCTTTTTGCTCTATTGTAAGCTTGTTTAAAATTTAAAAGTAGCATGTAGCATCCAATGTGGATTGTTACATGCGTTTAGACACCCATACGGATTAGCACTTGGTACCAATTAAATCTCTCCTGTTTTCAGGATGGCGTAAGTAAATTCGATTTGTTGAGAATATTGGCTTGAATCTAAAAAGTTGATCATTCCAGTTAAACACTGAAGTTAAATCCCACATAAAATAACGGGTCCTGCGCTCTACCTTCATTAACCTACAATGTTTGCTACAACTGTTGGATTTTGAAGGGTTTGGTAGGACTGCTGTAGTATGAACTTACGCCTTTACGAACTAAATAGTAAGCTAGGTCCGTGGCCAGCATATCTGGGCTGAGTGCCTTTCTCATTGCATCTGTGTTGATGGTCAGCGTGGAGACCACGCCGGTGGCAACTTGCAGTACCCCTGCAAACCAAGATGGTCAACATATTTAGCAGATACGCACTAACCTTTCTAACCCTAAAATTTCAAATCAAAGCATTACTCATAAAAGCAGGCACTTTTATGTTGCTCACAACTTTTAAGAACGTTGCAGACAAATTGTCAAGTTGTGACTAGAATTAATGCTTAATACAGCATGGCATGCAGTGGATTATTAAATTGAAAGCAATAGTGGAAGCCTCTAAGTTGCGTCAAGTTGTATGACAACTTGACGGTATGTAACCAGTTGTGTGAAATGAGATTTCTGAGAAAAGTTTAAGCGTGAAATTTAACATGGTTTTTATGTGGCAGAGCAAGTAAGCATTGTGCTGTTTTCACTCAAGAATTCAACACAAGTTGTTGATGCTTTGACAAAAATGAGCTTAGAATGTTCTATATGCAAATCAGCAACATGCATATCAAAAACAAAATCATCTAGTATGAGTGTGATATGACATAGCAGTGTGATATGACACGAGTGTGATATGACATAACAGTGTGATATGACATAACAGTGTGATATGACACAAGTGTGATATGACATGACAGTGTGATATGATGTGATGAAACCATGAACACAATTTAAATTTAAGAAAGAAGTTGGTTCAGCTACTGTAATGCCTCTTTTCTTTTGACTGCCTACCTGTCAATGTGTCATACGCATCAAACATGGCTTCCTTGTCTTCCTGCAGGTCCTTGTTATAGGTGCTTGGTAGGCCCTTCAATGTCATCAGGAACCCTGCACACTGATCAAAGGATAAACAATCACTGTAAACTTCGGAGTAAACCAGACCAAAACTTGTAAATCGGTCTCATGTGTCACTCCCCTGCAAAGTACTTGTTAATGTATAATGTAAGAATCTATTCATGTAGTTGAAGTTGCCAGTACAGCCTGTCTTTCAACTCAGGCCCATAGTGCTTTGGTTCAGGAAAGTGCATACTAAAAGCCATGGCTGTTGTTGGGTCCCTTTCACAAGTCCAGTCACAAGGAACAGAGGGATAAATGACAAAGGAATGCTTTTTTCACAGTTCACTTGAATAGCTTGGGACTGTGTTGAAAGGCCGGTTCATATGTGACGCCAAAGTTAACACAAAGGCCAAAATTTGATGTAAGATCAAATATCAGCACTGTGAGTTTGCAAAAGTTGTGCGAATTTCAACTACAGTGAATGTCGCTGCCCATGTTGAGTGACATCAACTTCACTTTGCTTTTGCGTCTGCCTGTTAGTACGAACCAGCCTTTACACCGGATGACTTATGATGGACTTTACAATATCCCATTACAGGACCTGTGAGCAGGTGTTGGATGTTGCATTCTTGGGCAACTGAGGCAGACCTAACTAAAACTGAGAGCATGCAAGGATTGTTGGACATCAAGTCTGAAGGGTCCCAATCCATGATGTTGAAATGTAGTCAAGAATTTGATGAGCCATGTCGTAATCCCAATGTTGCGGCTCAGACACAGTCCTGCGACCTAATTTTACCCAGTCAATAGGAGAACTCAGCCACGTGTTCAATGGCTTCAGTCTCAGTAAGAATCCCTAATTCAGCCAGAGGGATGGGCAGCAATGATCAATCGTATTCCGAGTGACTTGATTTAATTATCATACACTCGAAGTCGGAGCCAAGAGTAATGAGTCTGAGTTATGCCAATGAGTCCAAAGTAGAGAATTTTGGCAGGAGTTAAGCTCTCTCATAACCTAGTTCAGCGTCTCTTTACACAAAAGCTGAGTGTAGGTCCCAAACTCTCAGCATTAGGCCTGCTAAGCCAAAATGGTGCATGCCTTTCAAGGTATCACTAGATTTCACCAACTTGTCTGTATTTGGGATCGGGGGACATTTGTGTGAAGTCACTGTCGCCCACCTTGCCATAGACTCGTCCACTCTTTCCCCTGATCAACTCCAAGCTGTCTGCGTTTTTCTTCTGTGGCATCAGGCTGCTCCCAGTGCTAAAAAACAACCACGGCTTCAGTAACCAGACTGTACTATGTCTGATTCAAAACAAGTCAGATTCTACGGGTTGTCATGCTCTGTCCTCTTCCGTTTGGTCCAGTCTAGTCCAGACAGAGCCTCTCTCTTTTCGTTGTGCTTATTACTGAAAACATTTTTTGCCTACGCCTCTCTGAACTTCCTGAACCCACCCAAGCACTCTGTGCTTTTAATAATATATTCATACAATAACAATGTTGTACATTGCTAAGTTACTTTACAGGCACAGGTGAGGCAAATTTGAGAGCGTTTGCTATAAGGAGGATAAATGCTGGGAACAAATGACTTCTTGATTGTCATGTTGAAAAAGTTATAATGGCTATCCATCCCCCCTCCCCCCAATAAACCCAACTAATCAAGTGCCTTAAATCTTAACATCAAGATTTTAGAGCGTCCCTTACCAGTGGACGACATCACTGGTGACAAGTTAATATCTTCAAGGTTTGTGAAAATTTCACGTGTTCTTTCCAATGTCAATTGTTACGCATTGCATGCACATTGCTGTCAGCTCAGGAATGCTTTTGGCAGAATTACAAAGTTCCACTCATAATAAATTGCCTCTACCAGCTTTTCACATTTTGCAGATGAACTGAGAGCAGGCAGCATCAGCATCTCACCTGTAGGCGTCGGCGATTTGCACGAAGCTGTATTCCTTGGTGCTGAACAGCAGTAGGTCTTCAGCCAGCTTGCTCATGTGGACCATGGTCATGGACGACCAGAAGAGGAACTCGGCAATGTAGTCACGCCCGGCCGTCGCATCCAAGCTGTTGCCAGCCGTGGCCCCAAAGCCCAGCTCTGGTGGGAGATACAGCAATGGTTGAATTCCAACAACACCGTAGACATGCTGGATGCATCTGTGGTGTTGTGAGTCGAGTCCATCACCGATCCTTTCTCAGGAACACTCGTAAGTGGCATGGTGAATGATGACAAAGGAAACTGATACATACTTGGCAGTTTTGGAAAACTCATACTGGGGAATGACTTGAGTACAAGTGAGTGCAGGCACTCAAAACTTGAGTTTCACTGCTCAAAATCTGTTAGGAAAATGTTGTCTACAGACTGGCCTGTGCATTATCATGAGTCTCATAGAACACACACCTGAAGGATGGTATTTAAAAAGAAATATCTTATACCTTGAGTCAGAAATTCCCTGTCAACACTGAAAGGATTGCCGGCAAGTGCACCGCTGGAAATAAACGAAAACATTTATTTTTTTCCCCTAAAATTTCAGGTAACAGTGATCAATCACAAATGTGATCTGTAACATTTGCATATGTTGAAATCGAAAATGTACAGTTTGGAAAAGCAAGTTAAAATATCATTTCAACATTTCAAGTAATCAGCTGGAACCTATTGGCTTCCTTATGTGATTCTGTACGTAAGTATTCCACTTCGGGTGCCGACAATACTACATAGGACTGAAAGTGAGGACATGTAAGCACTGTTCTCAAGTAAAAAAAATTGTCTGCAGAGAAATTTGGTAGTTGCAGGCAATAAAAGTGACATGGTTCATAGGTTGACTAATATCATTGTCCAGATACCAGCTTAGACCTTTTCAGCCTTGGTTCGGAATACTGAGACACATCTAGGGGGAGTGTCAGACAACAGGGGCTACAGATGGGAGGGTGAATGTCTTAAACCAGACAAGAATGTCATTTAACTTTTTAAGTCTTGTAATATGTGGCCAAATGAATCCCAAGTTCATTTCCCCCAGTAGTTTTATTTTAATTTGCATCGGAAAGAGCAAATGGAAATCTTTGTTTTCATGAATCCCTCGGTGTAGCATCCTGATATAAGTAGACATCTACACAGGCAAAAAAATGTTGTGAGTTCCCATTGATTTGCATTGTGCAAGATTCTTTCACCAGTCTTTGACCCAAAAGTGGTTCTGGCGACTTCTGACTCACTTTGTGAGTACGAGTCGGTCTTGGGTTGAAACTTGGGTTTGGAGACTTTAAGGGGCTGTACGCACTCTGGAAAGAACAACCATGGCCTACCATCCGAGTGGGTTTATGTTGACCCTGGCTGTGAGTTCATGCAGTCGCTGGAAATCTCTCTGAAACATCCAGGCATAGCTGAAAACCCAGAAAACAAGAATCGGACAGTCAAATGACAACATTTTCTGGAAAGGTTTTCAGTCACTATTTCATCTTGTTTGTCAAGCACCATCCCGGAAAATTCAAAGTTGAGATTCAACATTTGACTTCTTTTTTTTTGCGATTTTCAAAAGAACCCTTCCACCTTTACCAGAAAATACCTAGAATTCCTTCAAAACAATTCTAGATTTTTTTCATTCAAGCTCACCAAAATGTGGGCATCTTCAACATTCTCTTTGCCATCCCTCAAAATATGGTTTTGACATCCGTATTCTGCAACTGAAATTTAACCCAGAATTGAGATATTCTCTTTACACTTTTTCTCTTCCAAGAGAATTTATTTCACAAAACGTGAAAACAATGTCTCACAGTGGGAAGGCATTTTCACACCTTTTCACACCAGTGGGAAAACTTTTTCATGCCTTGTGAAATGAGGTGAAAACGGATTCTGTTTATAAAATTTTGTATTCCCGTTTACAGCGGTAACCCTAGCAGTCCTAAATCCTATAATTTCAAGGTGATTTTGCATACACCCCAGGGGGTTAGTTTAACCTTCAGTTGCAACATGCTGTTTATCAGTTTTTGACCCATTTCTAGAACTGAAATTCTATCTGCCTCTTTTTTTTTGTTACTGCTAGATAGAGTTGCATCTCACATGTAGTTCAGGTACAAATCCTGTATACTAATAGCCATCTGTTTCTACTTCCATATTGTCACAAAGAATTTACATAGTAGTTTCCTTGCAAAAACAGAAATTGAAGAATCACCTCAAAAGCCAATGACTCCATCGGATGGGCTGAGCTCTCTATAAGGAAATAATTTAAACATTGCTTGATCATTTAGCTTGTTATATCATATTTTTACATGATTAATAATAGTCAGTACAAGTGTTGAGTATTTCGGAAAACCCCCATTTGTACTTTTTAAAGATGTTGCCTTCCATAACATTTGCACTGAATGTTTATTACAATACATATTGCCTACAGCTGTTTTATGTGAGGTGTCCCACTTGCACATGAAACAGCCACTGGGCACATGTGTTGACAGATGATGTCACTTGACTTTCTGGGGGACACTGGAGGGTTGTGTTGTGGCCTTTGTTCTCTGGGCCATTCTGATCCAAGACTTTGATGAGTGAAACATTGACTACCACACCACACTCAACCAGAGTTTATTTGTCTTCATTTTTAGAGTCTTCACTCATCTTAAATGTACACCCCGCGGCGGCTACTCCAGCAGCCGTTGGCGGGGGTGCGACACAAGGATGAGAGTGTTTTCATGCTAACTTCCAGACATGCAGAGTTTCACAATTTGCAATGCATTCGTTTTAGTATGTAGTCCTGAATTCAACTGCAACAATCAATCATATTCCTTAGCATGATTCAAAAAAACCCAATACAATCTATGTACCTGTAAATGTGTATAGCCAGGCATGAGGACGTCAACTTCTCTGCAAATACAAACAGAGGAGACAAGTAAAATAAATGATTAAAAACATTTTTAACCGAGAAATTCCTTATTTTAGTACCCAGATCCACCTCTCCACAGGAAATCAATGGCACACTCTTTGCTTTCGTATAGGGTTGTGACTCGTGCCCACATGTGTAACTGATTTTGGATATATGTCACACTAACAGCACCCTCACTTGTCTGGAAATGACTGGTCAATTTTGAGTGTTTAAAAAGTGCACGTTACATTTCACTTAACTCCAGAAAGATTACAAACAGTTTCATACTCTGAAGAAGAGTTTAAACATGCACAAGAAAACTGTATGAAAAGCTCATTGCATTCCTTTAAGGCAATGGATGACTAAAACCATTACAAGACAAGACTTGAAACTATCACATATTAAAAAATTCGATCAAAATCTACAATTTCTTCAATCCTGCAAGTAAATGAAAGAAGAACCACTTTTCCATGGGGAAAGATTTTACTATTATGAAAATGTCAGACCCTGTAACTTTTTTGAGTTGTATATTTCAGGTCATTGTAGTCGGCAAGCAGTTTACAGCAATGTTTTTTGCATTTAACGTCTCTGAAATTCTACAAGTGAAGAGCAAATGGTGGTGCTAGACTTAGCAGATGAGTTCATTTGGTGCACAGCTTACGTCTTAGCCCTCTTGACCGCGACTGTGATGAGGTCCAGTAGATGCTGACGCAGGAGAACGATCTCGTCGCGCAGCCACATGCGCATGTCAGTGGCACACTGGGGAGAAGAAGGGTCACATTAGACAATGATGCCAAGATACAACCGATGTCGTAAAATATCACCTGTTGGAAATCTGTCTAACTGTGGAAACAGAAATCAGCAGAAGCTGCCAACGAAAGTCAATGCTTGGAAAACAGCCGTAGGCTGAGTTAAAAAAAAATAATTTCCTTTTCCTTCCTGCTTCATCCCACCTGTGTGTTTTTTTTTAATGTATTATGCAATGTATGTTCACTTTTTATATATTGATTTGTACCAAAATGTTTGTGAAGCCATGCATGCACTTTGATACCTGCTGAGGTTATAATAAATGTATGTGCAGCCTAGCTATGGACACAAACGCACAAGCAAAAGGGTCAAGAAATCCATTTGCCGTCTTTTTTCGAGTCTGTCATCTAAGAAATAAGGAAAGCCTCCTCCTCCATTTCTTAAAAACAACCAGATGAAAAGCAAGTTGTTTTCTTATCTTGGCTGACAACCTGGTATATGGGTGTAAATCCTGGGAAGCGGGGGTATGTATCCCCTTGATTTTTGAAGGGGTGGATGTAGGGGAATGGGCTATTGAATCATCCCCCCCCCCCTTTTCTGTGGTGACAAAAAATTGAGGCAGATTGTGGGGAATTTGTGCACATGCCAACAACTTAAATGCATTCAATAGCACTCAAAAATGGAGAACAATAAAGAACGCCATAAATATTCCGTTAGGATGTAAGATTCTGCAGGAATGCAATACACATGACATTACACAGGCATGCAACTTTTCCCACGATTAGCCAATTTCCTAAATTTTTCCACTTGACACCTCTGCCGCTGAAAATTGAAAAACATTGTACAAAGTCTTGTAAAGATCGGAATTTCCTCGTAACTTGTCAAAGTCCATGTTGCATGCCTGATTACAGATGCCCGCTTTTCAAATTTCCATGGTAGGGCAAGTCATCCCTGCTCCATAATTCTCCATTCCCCCAAGTTACGGCACAAGCTGACCTGGTCATTCCTGCTACGTCCTGTATGCAGTTTGCCTGCTGCCGGGCCGATCAGTTCCTTCAGCCGGCGTTCATTGGCTGTGTGGATATCCTCGTCCACCGCTGGAATGATCTTAAAGGTTCCCGTCTCCCATTCCGCTGCCACCTGCACACACAACATTGAAGAATACACGTGCCAGATTTTTAAGTGAAGTCAGTGAAACTTCACCGCTTGCAAACTGTATCCTTTTGGCCAACATTTCGACTTTCAAGAAAGGCAAAATGCAGCGGCCAACTTTTGAAATAACACCAAAAGACAAAAATACAATTTGTGTTGCCTAGTGCTGAAGGGTCCATGCAATCCAATTTTCTTTTACTACAATTCTTAAAAATATATCTTTGTGCTTTTAATTTTTCTTTTCCTTTGTGATGCATTGTTGAGTTCAATGCAGTACACTAACTCTTTCCTAGAATTGTTTTCAATGAGCAAATGCTGGGTTAACAACTTAAACAGAAACACCTGTTAACAGAGCAGTGTCTTCCCTGATTGACATCACAGCCACAGTGCCCTCTATTGTCCAGAAAAGCATGGACAATTTTAAATGTTCTAAAAGTGCACTTTTCAACACACTTAAACCCAAACGGATGTCAAACTGTTTTCATACCTGAAGAAGAGCATAAAGTTACAAAAATACTTCATTGCCTGAACCCAAATTAAAGGTTAAAGGGCGACATGTACATTTTTCACATCAAATAAACAATGTGCTGTCTCACCTTTCTTAGGCCCTCGTATATGGCCTCCATTTCCTCCTTGGTGACGAGACCCACTTTCTCAATGGCCCGGACGTAGGCTTTGCTGCCTTCGATGTCGGCTTTCCACATGCGCTGGTCAAAGCCAATGGAGGCGTTGAATTTCTCCATGACCGGGTCGGTGGCTCCGGTGAAGCGCCCCCCCCATAGCTTCCCAGCCTGTGTCATGAGATGACAGTGTTCAAGATATTAGTTCAGTGATCAGGATTATGAATGTTACATTAGACTGACCTTGAAAATAAACCAATTTCTTGTTGCTTCTGTTTCATTTTTCCGGGCATTCTCCTTTTTCTGGAGGGGATGAAGTAATGTCAAATCGTCCGTGTTTCTAAAAATATTGAGAAATAAATGTCAGTTCAAAACTCTCAGAAAAAACTTTGTTTAGAACTCCTCTCACCCGCAAGTGTCTGCTGAAGAGTCATAAAAATTCATCTACCATCTTAGAAAAAGCTTTCATCTAAAAGGAAGCCATTTTCTCCCCTCAAAAAAAACCCAACACACAAACAATGATGAATTTGACGTTTTTCTTTTGTTTACTTCATTCGTGTAAAATGGTACATGCATAGTGTTGTAACTGTTACAAGACACTTAAGTATCTGTCCCGACTATAGTTGGGCCTGTCCCAAGACTCCCAACTACTGTTGCAAATATGCTATAGTTGAAGAGCAACCTACATCATGTACATGTAGTTGAGTCCTCTTTGGAGTCTCCGTGAGCACGTTTACCTTAAATATTGTAAACAATGAAGTACGAAGCTGAAGCTTGTAGGACTTGGCTTTTTCGTTCATAAACAGATTTTTTTTCAGGCAGTGGATAGTTGATTGTAAACCGGTACCGATTCGCTAAATGCTTTTTACTGGCATAGCACCTGTCCATTTGCAGTTAAGTGTTTTGGGGAACTTTTCACCTGACAACTTTTTGTCTGGTTCCATGCTAACATCACCATTGTGAGTTTGTATTTAGACCTAGTGTAAATTTCAGACCCCTTTTTCCTTTAAAAAAGTTCACGATAAGATAAGAAAAATATCCTGCAGTTCAACTTAGATACATGAAAGGAAGATATGAGACTTTTTTTAGGTTGGTGACAAATTTGGAATTCACCAGTGTGGCCTGGATAGGATTTGATCCCGATTATATTGCAATTGTATACTCTAAAGCTAAAGCTAACTTAATAACCACTAAGCTGCAGGTTCACTCACTTCCAATGGGGGAATAGAGTGACTATGTGGAATCAGTTTTGTGCCGGCTGTTTATTAACCAAAAATAATGTGTTACTGGATGACGGCAACTTATACTTTGTGTTTCTAATGCAACAATTGGGATGTAACCATGTAATGCTCACCCAGATAAGTCCACTGGCTTTGATAAAAGAAATACTTCAGTTTTTAAGTGAAGTAAAGGTATGGAATGTTATTCTCTGTAGATAAAACATTTCGCCTACCAATGTCTACATGTAGGCTGCCATAGCCCATGATCCTCTCGACTATGTTGACCAGGGAGGGGTGCGTTAAATAGTGCAATATGTATGGTGGCATACCAAGGCCGTATATACATGTATGTATCTTTAATATTTGGCACAATCAGTCAGCAACATAATCATGGAATCGCATTGCGCTATCAGTGGATCCTGTATGAAATTTCTAACGATACTTTCCAACGGAACTTCCTGTTTTGGCACAGTCTTCCACAGCTGTGAATTAGAAAGAAAAGCTGATTAACTGACAGAAGAATTACCTGCAAATTGCGCAGATCACGCAAAAAGATCGAGCGAACTCACAGATCGACTGATCGTGCCCAACATTGATATTAAGATGATTAATAGTATGCATACATGTATGTGTACGTATGCATAGTCACGATAGTATTGTTATTAAATGTGCACATGCCCTTGCCTACACTGAAAAGCTACAGGATTCACACGCTCTGTCGTGTCAATATGTCATATCTGTTAATGCAGACGTTAATGAAAAGTTCAGAAGATTAAGGGGATTGCTCAGGACCCAGATGGTGTTACGCCCCAACTGACTCTGGCTGTGGCCCCAATTATACTTGGGCGTGGCAGTAGTTGGGGCGTGACAATGAGTCTCTCAAACTTTTGTGCATCATCCATGCTCTTTCCACTGATTGGGGGTTTTTCTCTGAACATATTAATTTACAGTCCAATCTTCACCATGTTCACCTCCGTGAGGTCTGAGTAACTTAGCCTCTAGGCTCTACAAATCACATTTTTAACATTTGTTGTAGAGTCTTGGACTAGGGGCCTGGCCAACATCTAACCAAGGGAAGAGTTCCATGTACGGACACCAGTAATTATTCCCAACAGTGACCTATTATTAGCCATCAGAAAGAAAAAACATGTCCAGAAAAGTTCAATTTAGGAGGGGAAATAAGGCATTTAGGCCTACTTACAAAACACTTAAAATTTTCAGACCAGTCCCATATGATTCATGCACAGGGTGTCAAGTGGCGTCCATCCATAAGAACTCTTTCCCTAACCACCACTGCTATTGCTAACTAAAGGTAGTCTATAGATTCCCAACAGTCCCAAATCCTCCGATTTCAATATGATTTAACATACACCTTTGGCTACTGCTTGTGGAAAATCGAAAACAACTCAAAGCAAATCAAAAACATGTCCACTTCGCTAAAATGATTTCTACTGAAGGCCTACCTTCTCCATAGTCACACACAGTTTTGGTTCTTTAGACCTATCAGTTTCGCAACAGGGACTGCAATTTAGTGCAAACGTGGTCAGGTGGTGACGAATATTGCAAATTTTAAGCAAAATTTGAAACCACTGGGACTTAAGTGGAAAATGGCAGACGACAGCAGAATCGACTACTTTCACTAGCGCCCTCTACTGTTCCACTCACTTTTTTTCTTCTTAGCATGGTACCACTCAAACGTCAAACTCATTGGAGTAGCAACAATGTAAGGTCTGGGTATCTGTCTTCTCCATGTGACATTCAAAGGCGTCAAATTTCTCCAACTTGAACTTGCGTGCGTGTGACGTTGTCATTTTTAAGCAGACGGAACTGGAAGAAGCTGGCTGAGAAACAGGAGAACAATGTCAGGAAGAGTCAAACAAAGAAGTTCAGCGAATCCTACGGATTCTGCTAGCATTTCAGTCAACGAGAGGATTCTGAAAGAGTGCCACACGCTGTATACTGACCAGGATCAAGGTGAGTAAAACGCCAGGAAATGTACCCTAATCAGAACCAGGAGGCAGGAATGTTCACCCAAACATGCCAAACAAACATCTGCTTGGGCTAAAAAGAATTAGGCGTAGCCTACAGTTAACAGAGATTTTTTTTTTAACCGTATAAAATACTGGGATAGGATGGAAAGAGTGCCATATGTTATAACATGATTATACAGACAACACTTGATGTCCTTTGGCTTTGCACAAACATAGTTTTAGCATGTTTAGACTAGTCTGAAAACTTCAACTCAGTGAAGGAGTTTTCGGAGCAGGGCCTAGGGCTAACAAAAGGCCTACAAAACATGCTTCAGATTTTTTTTTAGCTAAATTTCACTCTTTAGGGGAATATTGATTTACACTCCTCTAGCTCTCCCCCCATTTTTCGTTTTACAAATATTAAAGGTCAGCCCTGAAAAGTACTACTCGGTCAATGTCTTTTGATTGTTATAGTCCTATTTCAGTATTGGGTTACATTTGGAGAAAATGTGACTTTCTTACATGTACTTGATTTCCATTAACATAAATGCATCGTCAACTTGACTGCACACACGTACATGTGCATTGCAGACTATGAGCATTGGCTGTCCTCGTCAATACTCTTATTATGTAATCTGCCTATTCGACCAATCAGAGATCGGCTTTCTAATGAAACTTTCCAGTAACCATTACCACGCAGGTTTGACAATATCAGCATGTAGACATACATATGAGCATGGTCCATGTCGATGTTGGGTTTACCTCATACCAGTAATCTTCCTCAAAAATCAAAACCCTTCCCTATTTTCTACAAAATTAACCGTACAGTTGACGAATAGTGTCATTGTCAATAATGTCATCTAGTTAAGTGAGTCTGAAAGTTTAAATCTCATTCTTCCTTCTACGTATATAGGAAAAGGGTCCCCAAATTGACAAGCCCCTTTTAAGGACGTTATCACTTTCTGATGGCTGTTAAAACATTTTAAGTGAAAATAAGTGTTATCCGTATATAGAACTTTTCTGAGTGGAATCTCCTACCAGCTGATATGAAAAAGAAAACTGATCTGAATTACTTCAAATCTACCGGGAGACTTGATGCCATTGATCTTGAGGACCTGACCAAATACGGCAATACTATAAGGCCTACCAGAAAACACCGAAAAATACCAGCAAATACCGTTTATGAACAAATTGATTTGTTATTTGCGGGGTGGCTGCTCAAATGCTGGGACCATGCATTTACTAACAGTTATCGCAGATAGTGGCAAGCAACATGCTTCATGGTGGAGTCCATAGGAGCACAGCGGACGACAAATCCATTGCACAAATCTGTGGTTAGGCGTCCATATAAGTTACTTGAGGGTTAATGTTTGAATCCATGTATCTAGGCTGAATTCTTTTCCTCTTTAAAATGGATCATTCGTTTCTGTGTAGGAGCAATTTCTATTGTCATTTTGATATTTTTTGGTTCTGATGTTTTTCTGTTGTTTGGAGCTAGTGTCCAGTATTTTTAGGGTGCTGTCATATGGTTTCTTATGGTTTCTTTTTCTAATCATGTACATGTATTGGCAAGCAAGCAAAGGGAAAAGGGTGCTTGCCTTTCTGAATTGTTGTGTTGACATTTGTAGGGGCAGATTTGGGTAATGCTATAACGAAGTGGGGCCGGGTACCTGTAATCAGCTGTCGGATTGCAGATACCTGGGTACTTGCCATGGCCCTAGTTGACCGTGGGGGATTCAGAACTATAAACCATTTCACATGGTGTTGAAAATCGCTGACCACTCTATCCATTTCTGTTTTAGGTTCTTCGTGTATGCCCAATTTCAGTCTTGTAAAAAATCAAAACATCCAAAGTGCAGAAGACATTTAGTTCTGTGTACATGTACCTAACTTAGCTTTACAAGAACCAAATACATGCACACATACAATGTTTTATAATGTGCACATTATGCAAAGGGCGCCCTCTGTTGAATTTTCTAGTGTCATGCAAATAACTTTGCTTTGTTTTGTGCTCATGAGGAGATTGAATGTTATCTTGTCTAAGTGCACGAAAGTTGGGGGACTTAAGCCCTGTGTGATTTAACCCTGTGTGCAGTACAGTTCTCAGCCTTTCAGAATCATACAGAACTATAGTTTTTGGAACTGAGTGCATGGAAGGTGGCTCGTAACTTTATAAAAACAAAGACTTTCTAATGCAAAAATGCATATGTGTACTTGTAATTAATAAAGTGTAAATTTTAAATGCAGTTTAGAAGTTAGGTTTTTAAATAGTAGCTTAAGTTATACGTTAGCTGCAAATAGGCATTTTTGCTGTCACTTGCTGTTTTGGGGGTAGGGTGAAATACAATTTTTTTCTCACCAACCCTTCAAGAATGGGATTACAGCCAGAGGTTGTTTAAAATGTACCATTTGGAACCTTACTGTATAATAGACCGATCCAATAGATCCCTAATTGTCCCACATCTTCCAATTTCAATGCGATTTTACATAAACTCTAGGGGGTTGGGCGTTAAACCCTGCCCGTTGTGTTCTTACCAATCATAGCTGTGCACACGCATGTGATACGGGCAGCAGGAACATGTAGTGTGACATTGGAGAAGAGCTCCTGCCAAGTGCCCACAAGTGCAGTAGGCAGGGCAGTACTGGATTGGTCTATTCATAGACCTGTGCACATAATGTAATGTGTTTACATGTACATGTACTATGCTGTTGCTACATGTACATGTAGAAGAGTTACTGCATACAGTACATGTATACTGTACATGTATAAATGTTTACTGGGTACTGTATGTACATGTACACATCTTGAGGTAGTGCAGGCAAGGTATTTTTACAGGTAAAGGGCACAACTTCTGCCACTCGCACAGAAAGAAATTAACAAAATTGCTCTTCTGAAGATGGGGAATAAACTGTGGTTAGTCTCAGTAAACATTTCAGAGGAGTCCTCACGCGTGCATTTTGCATGGGATACCAGACACTGGATGCAAACAGTGGAGAGGACAAGGGAATTCCTTAGTTGAGTAATAACTACATACATACAGGTGTACATGTATGTACAATGACAGGACAGGAAAGAGACAGTAAAATGTGTGCATTGGGTATTTTTGGTTTCGTTTCAAGAAGCTCTAGCATGGTGTCCCTTCCTCAGACCCGAGAATGAGAGCTAAAAATAAAACAAAACAAAACAAGAAAGGAGAACAAATGTATACATATGTAAGAAAAGCTACTGGGCAAAGGTAACCATATTTATGAAAAAAAAAAGCATAACAGAAGTAAAATTGGCAAAGCTAAGGCCAAGAATTGACACAAATGGGTAGGATCTTACAGTACTTACCAGGTCACAGATAGCGTGTCTACCTCAGTTGAAACAACTGCTGTTGGGGAACGATAAGGAAGTCAATATATTAGGGATACCATTACCAGGGGGGTACTTACTGAACAGGTGGGAAACAATTTATGCTCACTTAGTCCCCAAAAGGGAGAGGAATAAGTGGAATGTGGGAGGGACAGGACAGGAAGGAAATTGTAAACTGGTCATGTACACATTAAAAGCTGCACACATTTACAGCCCTATTGATGATTTTTGTCGGTGTAGAATTGAGCAAAACTGATCTGACAGAAAGTAACTTAAGGCCAGTCATAGCAGGCACACCCATCATTCCACACATTTTCCAAACATTTTTCCTTTATAATAAATTTCTTTTCAACTCATTGTGCAGCTGTACTTGTCAAGGATGTAAGATTGCCTAAAATTTCTGGATTTCTGAATATGGCATCAAAAATGCCTTTTTTTCTGGAAATGACCAACAGTTGCCGGAAAAAAAAATTAAAACAGGTAGTTTTCCACTTTGACCCATACACGATATTTCCCTTTTAAACAGATGTTTATGTTTGTGAGTTTGCAATCATAAACTATCTTAAGTTCCATGCCCCTCTTCACAACTAGCAAACATGGCAGCACAATGCCGTGACTGTGCGTAGGCTGTCGGGTGTGCATCCCAATCATGCCATGTTTATCGTGTTCACCGTCAGTAACTCCGACCTCATGATCGGGTTGCATGCACGCATGCATACAGGCCTTCATGCACGCAGCGCAAGTCGTCGTCTTGTCAAGTTGCAACTCATCCCGAGGGCTGGCTTCATTTCCGTACTCTTATAGGGCAGATAGTGATGAGCATGTACTGTTCAACATCCTAGGAACGAGGTTGGTCAAGTCGTGAACACGAGAAGACAATTCCACCTCCAGTTCACAACTAGTGAGTGACCAGGTGATTGGAATGCTACGGCTGTATTGGAACTGCTGATAAATCGCACATAAACAGTGGTGATGTATGTGCAATGTGTGTTTTTGTTAACAATTTTATGCCAAGTTTTCAGTAACAGGTGACCGTGTTTGGATAGAAATTTTTGATCAACATGAAAGTTGACCGGAAAGTAGATATTAAAGAAATTTTTAGCAAAAAAGAAAAAGAAGATAAAAAAGAGGACTAAACAGGCCTAGGTGAGTGGGTCTGATGTCCACTACAGGTTAATCAATTTTATGATATCCATGATATCTTCATTATATAATCGTACCTGTTTGATTTTATGTCGAATAGGTATCTAAAACTGTTGATTTTTATCTGTTAAAACCCTGAAAACCAAGGAGCTTAAAGGGCTTTGCCCTCTT